AACTTCAGGTTATATAGGATATCAACAGACATCGTTTATACTACATTCCTATTTATGGATGCGTACCAATTTGCTGTCAATTAATTCTAAAATCTGCTCCATTACGAGGCATTGGATCGATTTAATACCCAGCCGGGGCAGAGGAGGCCGGGTATTAATATTCAGTACTACTCCCTTATAAGCATGATATAATTTATTTTGTCGGCGTATTTCGATACTTTGCCCTGTTATGATCAAACTGAAATTTTGCACACAGCTAGATATGTGAATATTAATAATGAATCAAAAGAAAAATATGAAATAAATGAAATAACGATTTCCTGGACGCGCGAAAACCTCCATGGACACTCATCCCTTTCTGGACGCTCCCTCGTAAACTTACTATTTATCGACGTATTTTGGTACTTTCTATTACTACGATCGGCCTGAAATTATNTGCCATGACGCGTGATGTTATCTCAGTTATCCTTTCTATATATGGCATACATAGCCAAATATAGTATTACTACTGATGACGACATGTTTGCTACAATTTCCATATTGGGTCATGACACCCATATATAGACGTCTGACCTATATCGGAAGAGAGACGAACTTTCCAACAATGCGGTCAAATCAGAATTTGATTGCACTTGCTATGTTAAATTGATAATTTAATGACATTTTCGGCAGCGTTTAACTTCAGGTTATATAGGATATCAACAAACATAGTTTATACTACATTCCTATTTATGGATGCGTACCAATTTGCTGTCAATTAATTCTAAAATCTGCTCCATTACGAGGCATTGGATCGATTTAATACCCAGCCGGGGCAGAGGAGGCCGAGTATTAATATTCAGTACTACTCCCTTATAGCATGATATATTTATTTTGTCGGCGTATTTCGATACTTTGCCCTGTTATGATCAAACTGAAATTTTGCACACAGCTAGATATGTGAATATTAATAATGAATCAAAAGAAAAATATGAAATAAATGAAATAACGATTTCCTGGACGCGCGAAAACCTCCATGGACACTCATCCCTTTCTGGACACTCCCTCGTAAACTTACTATTTATCGACGTATTTTGGTACTTTCTATTACTACGATCGGCCTGAAATTATACACACACCTAGGTAAGTGCAAAAGCGTGGAAGAAATGAAATAACAAGTTCCTTGGCGCGCGGAAATCTCCCTGGACACTCATTCCTTCCAAAAAGGCATATTTATCGACGTATTTCGGTTCTTTCTTCTGTTATTATCAACATTTAATATTGTATACAGCTAGGTAAATGTATAAAATGTATGAATCAGAAAAAAAACGTTATTTTTTTTTTACAAATTCCTGGGGGCGCGAAAACCTCCATGGGCACTCCCTGGACACTCCCTGGACACTCATAAGGGTCACCCCACTGGCGTAGGCCCCTGTAAATAGTTCGTTATGATCTAATTGTTTCAAATAAGTTTGCCTGTTCATGTGAACTTTTTATTGTCTTCGATATGTATTTTGTCACATTGATTCAATTTCTTTGTCTCCATTCAACTTTTTTTTCTCATTTTTTGTACAGATGACACAGGAAAGTCTTTTTACAGCTGTGTTGGATTTACACACACCGGTATGCGTGTAAGATGTCTTGGATGGACGTTATTGATGAATAATAAATTGTGAACCGCTTTGAGACGACCTACGAACTAGGTTGTGATAAAGCGGTATACAATGTATAATAACCTCGAATTATTATTATGTATTATCATTAAGATTGAAAAAGTGCATCAGCATAGCCCCACATTACTGAAGATCAAGTCAGCATAGCCCAATCTTACAGAAGATCAAGTCAGCATAGTCCCATCTTACAGAATAACAAGTCAGCATAGCCCCATCTTACAGAAGATCAAGTCAGCATAGCCCCATCTTACAGAAGATCAAGTCAGCATAGCACAATCTTACAGAAGATCAAGTCAGCATAGCCCTATCCTACAGAAGATCAAGTTAGCATAGCCCCATCTAACAGAAGCTCAAGTCAGCATAGCCCCATCTTACAGAAGATCAAGTCAGCATAGCCCAATCTTACAGAAGATCAAGTCAGCATAGTCCCACCTTACAGAAGATCAAGTCAGCATAGCCCAATCTTACATAAGATCAAGTCAGCATAGTCCCATCTTACAGAATAACAAGTCAGCATAACCCTATCTCACAGAAGATCAAGTCAGCATAGCCCAATCTTACAAAAGATCAAGTCAGCATAGCCCCATCTTACAGAAGATCAAGTCAGCATAGTCCCATCTAACATAAGCTCAAGTCAGCATAGTCCCATCTTACAGAAGATCAAGTCAGCATAGCCCCATCTTACCGAAGATCAAGTCAGCATAGCCCCATCTCACAGAAGATCAAGTCAGCATAGCCCCATCTCACAGAAGATCAAGTCAGCATAGCCCCGGGCATCTTACAGAAAATCAAGAATATTTTTGAATTTTTGTATTGACTTTTTGCGTGTTTATTGACATCGTCCGTCATTTGTAGATATTGTTTGAATAAACTTGTTTTGTTTTTGCCCCACTCACATAATAACTATTGTAAATTACAAAGCCAATGATTGTTAAAAAGTGATTTAATTCATTAGAGTTCGGGTATTCGTTTTTGTATCCAATTGCTATGTTTTTTAGAGTCAACATATCTTTTTAATTTCCTAGTTTTTCAAAAATGTATCTGATTTTAAATTTTGTAAATATTTACATTTTATGAAAAAATGTTTTTAATCTTCTATAGTGTTGCAAACATTACAGTTTGGTGTATCTCTTATTTGCCATTGATGCAGAATTTGCTTTGATATAAGGATTTTGTTTATTTATTTCCATTTATATTCCTTCAGCTTGTTTTTTTTTAAGTAGTGAAGACAAAATTATTTGTAAATTTGAATTGGGCATCTGTTTTATTGCATTTGTTCTCCCAGTATATTCTTGCGATTGATTTTTCAGATTTCTTTCAATTTTTACTTTAAAGTTATGCGTGTTAACATTACTTTCTTTAATTTTTGTTAGTCGAGTTTTTGGTATTGCTTTTAACTATGGATAGTTTTGATAGCAAATTAGTGCGTTTTTGCAAATTTTTCATATATTCTTCTATAATTTATTTCTACATTGTGTTGAAATTGATCCTTGATAGGAACAATGTCTGATTCTATCCATTTTTAAAAAATATATGGTTTTACCTTCCATCTTGATATGTCTATTCCCCCATATAATTTGAGCTAACATGGTGTTATAATGTTTTGGTTCTTGGTTTGGTGCTCGTGGTTTGATCAATGTTGCTATGATTTCATAGTAAAAAGGAGAAAGCTTTTCACTTTTTGGAAGATTTTTAAGTTGTCTAGATTCATTTTACATATATGCATAATTTTGCCGAAAGTGTTTAGTTGTAGCATTGGGATAGTTTTCCATTATGCTGCTTCCTCTGCTACCAGTTTTTTTCAGCCAGGTTTTTCGTAATGTATCAATATTTGATCTTATATCGATTGAGTTGATCCCGCCTTCAGTGTATGGTCTGATTGATGTATTTCTTTTTACTCTTTCTTTAGTTATGATTTTACTATTTGTATTCTCCCTATTATAGTAAGTTTTCTGATTTTCCATTTGTTTATTAGTTTTTTTAACTTTATCCAGTTTACTTTTCCAATTTAAGTGTAGTGTTTGTTACTTATTTAGTCCAAAGTGAACTCCCAGTGCTTTGATTGTTATATCAATCCATGCGTTTCCGTCAAAATTGTCGTCGATCTGTGTCTTATTACCTAGTATGAGTCCTTTTGACTTCTCTCTATTCAATATTAGACCAGAGTAGGTTCCGAATGTTTCTATTATATTTAGTGATTTAGTAATATATTTTTTTGTCTTTAAGAACAGTGTTGTGTCGTCTGCTAGTTGAGATATTTGTATGGTATGTTTTGCTGATTTTGTATTGTTATTCCTTGTACGTTTTGATTACTTTTGATTCTTATAGCCATTTCCTCTGCTGCCATAACAAACAATAATGCGGATGCAGGACAATCCTGCCATAAATCTCGGCACTACTTTTTCCGAATTAAGGATACCTGATGCATAATACTAATGACTTTTTTTATCAAAGGAAGATTTCAATTAACAATACAAAAATTATTATAAATTATAATTATAACAGTTAGCGTTTTCAGTAGGTTCAGGACAACTCCTACGCATCAGGAAGACATATTGATGTTAAATAAGATCCATGCCGACTGAATGTGTAAGGTGTGGAGGTGAAACTTGAACATTTGATACAAGGAGTTTGATACCAGACCTAATCATACCAGACATAATGACGATACGACACCAGGGATTCTTTACCCATCACAACACTAAGTTGGTGCATTCAACGTAGATATAGTAGGTTTATTTTGTGAATGGATAACAAAACGGACCAGTCCCCTCCCACTATGCCTCAAAGGATGGTTGGGTCATTATTCTTCGATGAGTTTTCAATATTTCGATTGCACAAACGTAGTTTAACATTGTCCCTTTTTCTGAATCAACTAAAATACACGCTCAGGTCTTACATGCGGTAATATGTAATGGTAATTATGACTGCTTTAACACACAAAGGTAAATAGCATTCTAAAAATATGATCAGGATGCTTAAGACTACAAAATCAACCAAATATTTCAAATGCCGTATATCAAGAACCTCTTGGTGAATTTTCATTCAGTTAATGAATATTAAATATGTTTTTTAGTATTAAATAACAAATACAATAAAAAAGATTGTGGTAGAACTTATAAGTTTTCTTTAGCGTATTTCTAAGTTACATGTAATTGGGGTATCCAGGATGTTCTTACCTGCATATCAGTCATTAGCTGCATGGACGCACGCTATTTGTTAATAATCTTACTATTTACTACTATTAATAAAAGTTATTACTATATAAATGTAATATGTGCAAATAGTGTTGTGCGACTATGTATACTTGTCGGATGAAGATTTATTTCCCCTTTTTGCAGACATCACGTGATCTAACCTTAACATGGTGTAACTTACCAGAAGGAAACCGAAACAGTGTTTCTTTAAATTAAAGAAACGACTTAAACATTTCAACGTAATCAGCATTTGGCTAAGATAAAGGTATGTCCTATATATTATTAATAGGCAATTAATTTTAGATATCTGAATGCAAGGAAGATTTTTAATTATCTAATGTTATGTCTACACAAACCGAAAGCACTTGAAGTAAGGAATGTGTATCAAAGGCCACTGTATTTTATAGAGAATTGAATTACTGTCTGAAGAATATGGTTACATGGGTTTTGAGCATTTGTTGTTATAGTGTTTTTGTTTGGAGATGGCTAATAAATCATAACGTAGTTTCCTGAATAGAAATCAAAACTAATAAAGTGGATCCCAGACGGGAAATTCCTTGATTTTGGAGGACTACTGTAAAAGCATAATATTTCGTTGGGGATATACTTTTGTTTATTTTAGGGTTTAATAAAATCCACGAAATATAATCCGAGCTTAATTTTAAGCTCACGAAATACTAACTAAATGAAATATTAAATAAGCAATTAATTTTATTTCAAAATTCATGGTGTATTTGCATCTAAGAACAAGTCATGATTAACGGTGTAATTATTGTTACAGGCACAGAGTTAAACTCTCATAACAACAGCGTTAAATGCGTAACACAGTTACTTTTATACAGGTACATGTACGTCTATGTGAGTCTACAAAGTAAACATTACGTGTATATCTCTTTTTGTATATAAGATATAGAGCGTGACGGATTTGTCCGATACCCTTCAAGTGCGTTAATCTCGCCCGATCTTACCTGCACTGTCGATATAAACTTCTAACTTACCAGAAACAAATACAGGGTTTTAAAATATTGTTTCCATGAAATATAATCCTAACGAATTTGTCCCAATACAAAAACATCGAAGTTTAACCTCAACAAAAATATATGATTTTACACTAGTATCGGCAAGGTGAAATGTGATAAAAAAAAATACTGTTTCATTTAATCTATAATAGTTTATGTTTGAGTCTGAGAGATAAAAGACGCTGTACAAACGTTTGGAGACAACTAAACCGTGAAACTACATTACAAACAGTTTTGTGGCAGTAATTTGACTGATTAAATACCTCTCTTTTAAAAATATTTAAAACATATACTTCTCTAAGTCGAAAATTAAGTATATTAGAAGGGGAAAACCTTCCAGTAAGCTATCATACTGAAATTTCCCTTCGAAACTGTCACCGCCGATGGTATAACTGCGGCGAAACGTTTAACCGCTAATTGACAAATACTTCAGTCACTTACTTTGATAATTTATTTTGAGGTGTAGATATTCGAGTATACACATTAATTGCCAACATAAGTAACCAACAGTTTCTATATTGAATACTTGGTATTATGTAAGAAAGTACACATTACTGCACACGTACACACTTGTAATACGTAAACAACATGGATATTCAATCACGCGTAGGTTGTATACAAGCGGTACCTTTAAATGTTATTCAACATGAGACAGGCCTTTTGTCAAGTGTATGCATACGTTATATAAAATCAATGTTAACTAGTTTGTAGACATTCTTTAACGGCAATGAAAAAGACGGCATGTCATAACATTGTTTCTTTGAGTTATCAGATGATTTGACACTTAAAGCTTAATACCCGTGAAGTTAATATGTGATATGTCGAATATAATATGGTTTTATCCCGTCATAGATGCTGATCCCAAGGGCTCTTATATCGGAACTCTTGTATTTAAGCCTCATCGACGATTAATTATGAAATTTTGTTTTTAGAAATCAATCATTAAATAGTTTAAAAAATGAAATACTTAAATCAAAACGATTTAAGTATTTCATTTTTTAAACTATTTAATAATTGATTTCTAAAAACAAAATTTCGCTTCAATATGGTTGCGCTAATAGATGGTTTTGTATAATTTGAGAGTGCGCAAATTTATAAATGCGTCATTACATGTATATTATAAAATTCGGTAATACGCTCAGATTTGAGTCAGCTAAAATAAGGACTTTAACTTATGATGTTTTCAAAATCGATACGCATTTCTTATTTTTTATAAAACAGAATTATTTCTTTTCAACAATATAACAAAAAAATAAGACCAAGATTAAATTATCTTATCTATATTTCATAGATTGTAGGATATAGCATATTGCAATCGAAACGAAATCAATGATATGTTTTTCATTATTGAATTTGCTATAATATTTCAGACAACAAGAATGACTTCAAGGAAGAAGAAAGACTACATGAAAGTGTTGTCAATAACAGAGTGTAACATCTGCCATTTGGATTTATCCGACCCTCGTCGGATAGAGTGTGGACACACCTTCTGTCTCCATTGTTTAGGTAAACACGTAAGTTCTTCGTCTTCTTGTCCAACTTGTAAACGACCTATGAAACCAACATCTGGAAAGGTCGAAAATTATCCTGTTGCTATGGAAATAGTACACCTTCTGCAGACACTTCAGAAGGTTGCAAGTTGCAGCAATATTGCAGGTGAGGAAGAGGATAAAACAGGGGAAGAGGATGAGTACCAATATGTGGAGCTTGATACTGATCAAGATGAGGTAAAGACTAAGACATTACCTCAACAATCAAAGTCTGTCATGTCGAACGATGTATGCGATATACATGGACAAAGACTGGTATCTGTTTGTACCACTTGTGATGATGAACTCATCTGCGACAAATGCAGCATCCATTCGACCCACAATAAACAAGAGATATCTGAACATAATAGGCATCTCAAGCGACTACTCGAAAAACAAAGAGCGGATTTACTCCAACGGGAAAAGGATGACGTAGCAGAAGAAGAAACGTTGCAGGAAATGATCGAAAAGCAAGTTCAACAAAGGGAAATAATTAAAGACGAGATAGAAGAAATTACCGAGGAAATTTTTACACAAATTCACATGAAAAAGGAAGAAATGCTTCGACCTATTGAGGAAAAGGCAGACGAATACGTCAAACAACTGACGGAGAGGCAGGAGGATATCAAAGACAGGCTATCTGAGTTTAGTCACATCAGCAACAGGATTGGAAAACTTTCGCATGATGACACAACAGACTACAGCAGAAAAGCAAAAAGATTGGTTAAACAAGCAAACATTGCACTCCTGATAGAAAACAAACCTGTACCACGTTACCAGAACATTGAGTTCACCAAGAATGACACAGTCCTAGAAGATCTGTCACAACTTCAGTTAGGTGATGTAAGGATAGATGAAGTATCAATAGCGCAGGACGAGGAGGGTACAGCGTCCGACTTCTTTCCTGATGGGGAGAAAGTGTACGTGAATGATGTGTACCCGGACGATGTCTACACGTACGATGATTCAATCTTACCTCCTCCACCAGCTCCTGTAAGACCAAAACCGGGAAAATCGTATCATCCATTACCTACACCAATGGCACCACCAACTATGGATGTTCCTTCTTTATTTCCTCGCCCTCGTCCTCCACTTCCTCCACGACCTCAAAATCAATATCAAAATCAAAGTCCCCCAGCAGCTAAAAACGAAGAGAAAATCTACCATGACCTGGACGATTCTCTATCTGATAATACTATACGGAATCAAAAGCATGACACGGAACCTCTGGAACAGAAAGAAGATATACCGGACAGCCATTTCAATCCACCGCCATTATCTCCCTTTTCAGGAACATTTCGAAAATCGGCCTCTAAAGCAATTGACAACCGTGCATTTCCACAGAAATTGCTTCACCGTGTATTCCTCCCCTTTAGACCCTCGGGGTTCACGGTTGTTCGAGGTTCTCTGGGACACTACTACACATTTGTCACAGATGATTACCACGTGAAAATGTTCAGAGAGAATGGAGACTTCTATAGGACAATCACAGATCTCGTCCGGGCGTTCGATGCTGCAAGCCAACAACATGGCGAAGGCTTGACGCTTTTGTACATAACGGATGAAGGTAAATGATAACAGCTATCTACCTTTTGTAGTTGGAATATTAATAAAATAGATGGTGAGTCAAAATAATGGCAATGTTTAATGAAGGTGAACTACAACCATTACAACACAATTTGGTGGATATATGAACTTAATTATGCAAGAAAGGTGTCGCTTGGGAATTCAAAAATCATATTAAAACTTCGTTTTTACGATTATAGATGTTGTAACATATCCTTTTTTTATTAAGGATACCGTTTGTAAAATAAATTGCATTGATAAGTCATTCATGTACATGAATATAACACAATGCAACATTTCTATTGAAATAAATTTCTATGCGTCTTATTAAACTGACAAATTATTTTATTTTAGGACGAAGGACAGGAGATGGAAGTGTCAGGGTGTATACCTCCGAGGGAGAATTCCAGAAAGTGTTGGTTGGAAAGCTCAAGAAACCACAAGGAATTTCCATATCACGAGTGGGACTCGTTTACGTATGTGACGAAGCAAATATCCTTGTGTTTTGTCCAAAAACGGGGAAAAGAAAGAGGATCATTTCTACCATCGGGAGGGATCCAATTTTTGTATGCCCTTTGTATGTGATGGTGAGCGCCACTGGGAAGATTCTAGTCTCCGATGTTGGCACAAGAGAGCTCAAAATCCATGACGAAACCCGAAAGTACACCGACAAATTCAAACCAGATGAGGACGAAGGGGAGCTTTACACAAGCTTTACTCCTGGAATGTGTGCCGAGGATTCTTCTTCGAATTATTACGTCATTGACCAAGAGAGAAACATTCTTTATATATTGCGCGGTGGGGGGAGGTCAGAGAAGCTAGCGCTACCACAAAAACCTCAGGGGCACGATGGAATACCAACAGCTGTATCTTTCGCCAACGATACAGGGAACATTGTAGTGTTTTAGACAAAAGATATACAGGATGTTGTTTTGATAAAACAAATGATTTTTGTATATACCCAAACGTACGTTTTACCGCGAATAACACCACAACGCCAATCACGTCGTCTGCAATGATAGACGTCAGATATGCCCGGACGTTTTCCGATGTGATGTTAGAGGTCCATCCTTTCATGTTTATGTTATAGTAACTGAGTTCAATATATTTTTTGACGGTCAGATTAAGGATTAGTATTTAAAAGACATACAGCTTGGTAATAGATATAAGCAGCCCATACATATATAGGGTATTGATACAAACAATATACTTGCATATGATAAAGTCCAGATATGTTACTACAAAAACTACTGGAGTTGTTTGTAAATACACAATATGACTAATTTTGCTTGTTTTTTTGAGCGGTTTTATGTCCGCTTCACTACCGAGTAGTTCGGTTATCCAGCAGACGAGTGTGACTTATTACTCATTTGTCTGTTATACATGTGGATTTAGTTTAAATGACCCAAAGAAAATACGATAAACAGTAGTCTCGCTTTGTTGTAAAAATCAATATCTGTCCAGGAGATCTAATACAAGATAAGCTGTAATCAGTTGTTGGTAATCATCTACATCAAAAAAACCGATTAGTCACTTTTAAGGACATATGGTATTTTTTACATCACACCACATCTGTTGTTCCACCCGTCAAGGTATTAAAATGTTATAATCATAAGATAATTATCACTTTTGCGATGTTTCCTTTAGTTTAAACATGTTTTATTGTACAAAGATACTAATCGATTAAACAACAAGTTATTTCAACTTAATAAAGTACTATCCCGAAATGGAGCGATGTTTCATTCGCTTATCTAAACGGCCTTTACTGTAATTGAACTTGCTTTAAAGTGTTGTTCATCAAAAGTTTAATATTCCTAATGTAAATAAACAGATATGATAATAATAGAGATGACATACTTCGGATCCCTGGCGAACTACTGGCAAACACTGTAAATAACTTCAACAATTAATTCTAAATCACTATCAATTATCTCAATTCAGTCTTTGTTTCCAATATAAATTGTCAGTTATGCAAAGACATAAAATCTAAATTCAATTGTTTGTGCAATGTTTTTTGGAATACCCCTTATATTCAATATTTGTTATCGGATGGTCGAGTAACGCAGTGGATGGAACACTTGCCTTGGCGTCCGGGTTTCAATTCCCCGATCGGACGGTATGGTAAGGGGTCACCTTCCCGTCCACCTGGGATTTCTCCGATTATTTCGCTTTCCTCCGATATCAAGATACCCGCGCGCTTAAATATAATTTTATAATTGTTGTAAAATGTATAAAGTTGAAAGATATTATATAATATTTTTTATATACTATTCAATATTCGATTCTATTAGTTGTCACGTGATGTTTACATTTTCGATCAGATCAGGCATATAGCAGCACGATAGAAAACCTGAGTGTTCCAAGGGTTGGGGGTCCTTGGCAGCGAGGTCTGCTCAGGTCTTATCGTGCGATATGTTATATATGCTTAGTAAATTATTACACACTAGGCTACATTTAACGTTTTTCCGTTGATAAAAAGGTCTCAATCAGCTGATAAGCCATATTGGCCTGGTTAATGTAGACCTAGACGTATTGGGTTGGGGAGGTCGATACTTTATCAGAAAGGTTTGTTCACACTCCACATCATATTTGTAAACTAAGAAATAGAAATATTTGTGAAAATTATGTTTACATTTACATATAACACTCGCATATGGCAGAATGACCTGATTTTTCCAAGGGTTTTGGGGCCTCCTACCGGCGAGGTCTGTTCAGGTCTCATGCTTGCATCCTAGCCCGTAGCTGCGATAACGTGGCTTTCTGACGACGAGAGAGTTTTTTTATATATATTGCGTCGTCAGACGCGGGGCATAGTCGCCCGGTTGTTAATTTTAATACTACCTTGCCCGGTCACCCTAATGAGTGTCCAGGGAGGTTTTCGGGCGCCCAGGAATTCGTTATTTTACTTTTTTTTTTACTTTTTTCTTCTGGTTCATACATTTATACACTTTCCTAGCTGTATGTACTGCTATTTCGGACATTCACATTTATCAACAAAGAATTTGTCATCCAATTGTTTAAAAGTCTAGTGCGGCCACATTTGGAAAGAACAAATTGCTATTGAAAATGTCCAACGCAGGGCAACAAGACGCCTACCAATCTTTAAAGGACAGTCCTACAGTGAAAGACTTTGTGCACTGGGCCTCCTAAGTTTAGAATATAGATTGACAGGAGATGTCGTGTAAATCTATAAAATCATCAATGACATTGACATTTTTGACAAAAACAACATGATTAAAATGGCTGCATTTTTTTGCCTCACTCACATAATAACTTTTGTAAATTACAAAGCCAATGATTGTTTACAGGTGATTTAATTCATTAGAGTTCGGGTATTCGTTTTTGTATCCAATTGCTATGTTTTTTAGAGTCAACATATCTTTTTTGATATCCTAGTTTTTCAAAAATATATCCGATTTAAAATTTTGTAAATATTTACATTTTATGGGAAAATGTTTTTAATCTTCTATTGTGTATTACAGTTTGGTGTATCTCTTATTTTCCATTGATGCAGAATTTGCTTTGATGTAAGGATTTTGTCTAGTTATTTCCATTTATATTCCTTCAGATTGTTGGTTTTTAAGTATTGAAAGACAAAATCATTTGTAAATTTGAATTGGGCATCTGTTTTATTGCATTTGTTCTCCCAGTATATTCTTCCGATTGATTTTTCAGAACGCAGAGTGTTTGAAGATTGTTCGATTATTACAATTTTCAATGGTTACTGTTCCTAGTTTTGGAATTTTGATGACCAGATTTCTTTCGATTTTTACTCTAAAGTTATGCACGTTAACATAATTTTCTTTAATTTTTGATAGCCGAGTTTTTGGTATTGCTTTTTTACTATGGATAGTTTTGATAGCAAATTAGTTTTTTTGTTAATTTTTCATATATGGTTTTATCATTTATTTCTACATTGTGTTGTAATTGATCCTTGATAGTTACAATGTCTGATTCTATCCATTTTTAAAAATATATGGTTTTACCTTTCATCTTAATATGCCTATTCCCCCATATAATTTGAGCTAACATGGTGTTTTAATGTTTTGGTTCTTGGTTTGGTGCTCGTAGTTTGATCAATGTTGCTATGATTTCATAGTAAAAAGGGGATAGCTTTTCACTTTTTGGAAGATTTTTTAAGTTGTCGAGACTCATTTTACATATATGCATATTTTTGCCGAAAGTGTTTAGTTGTAGCATTGGGATAGTTTTCCATAATGCTGCTTCCTCTGATAACATTTTTTTTCAGCCAGGTTATTCGTAATGTATCAATATGTGATCTTATATCGATTGAGTTGATCCCGCCATCAGTGTATGGTCTGATTATTGTATTTCTTTTTACTCTTTCTTTGGTTATGATTTTACTATTTGTATTCTCCCTATTATAGTAAGTTTTCTGATTTTCCATTTATTTATTAGTTTTTTAACTTTATCCAGTTTACTTTTCCAATTTAAGTGTAGTGTTTGTTACTTATTTAGTCCAAAGTGAACTCCTAGTGCTTTGATTGTTATATCAGTCCATGCGATTCCTTGTACGTTTTGATTGCTTCTGATTCTTATAGCCATTTCCTCTGCTGCCATAACAAACAATAATGCTGATGCAGGACAATCCTGCCATAAATCTCGGCACTGCTTTTTCCGAATTAAGGATACCTGATGCATAATACTAATGACTTTTTTTTATCAAAGGAAGATTTCGATTAACAATACAAATATTATAATAAATTATAATTATAACCGTTAGCGTTTTCAGTAGGTTCAGGAGAACTCCTACGCATCAGGAAGACATATTGATGTTAAATAAGATCCGACTGAATGTGTAAGGTGTGGAGGTGAAACTTAAACATTTGATACAAGGAGTTTGATACCAGACCTAATCATACCAGGCCTAATGACGGTACGACATCAGGGAATCTTTACCCATCACAACACTAAGTTGGTGGATTCAACGTAGAAATAGTACGTTCATTTTGGGAATGGATAACAAAATGGACCAGTTCCCTCCCTCTATGTCCCAAAGGATGGTTGAGTCATTATTCTTCGATGAGTTTTCAACATTTCGATTACGTAAACGTAGTTTAACATTGTCCCTTTTTCTGTATCAACTAAAATACACGCTCAGGTCTTACATGCTGTAATATGTAATGGTAATTATGAATGCTTAAACACATAAAGGTAAATAGCATTCCCAAAATATGATCAGGATGCTAAAACTACAAAATCAACCAAATATTTCAAGTGCCGTATATCAAGAATTTTCATTCAGTTAATGAATATTAAATATGATTTTTAGTATTAAATAACAAATACAATACAAACAAAAAATTGGTAGAAATTGTAAGTTTTCTGTAGCGTATTTCTAAGTTACATGTAATTGGGGTATCCAGGTGGTTCCTACCTGCATATCAATCATTAGCTGCATGGACGTACACTATCTGTTAATCATCTTTCTATATACTACTATTAAAACTACTAATTACCATATAAATGTAGTATGTGCAAATAGTGTTGTGCGTATATGTGCGGATGAAGATTTATTTCCCCTTTTTGCAGACATCACGTGATCTAACCTTAACATGGTGTAACTTACCAGAAGGAAACCGAAGCAGTGTTTCTTTAAGTTATATTATATTATCAATGTGCAGTTAATTTCATATGCCTGAAAACAAGGAAGATTCTTAATGATCTAATGTTATATAAACACAAACCGAAAGTACATTGTTTTTGTTCAGGAATTGCTAATAAAACATTACGGAGTTTCCTGAATAGAAATCCAACTAATAAAGTGGATACAAGAAGGAAAATTTCTTGATTTTAATTCAACAAAACACGACGTCCAGATAGGTGCACTCGATAATTATCCTCGTCAGGATTCACAAAGCAGACCTAAGGACTACTGTAAAAGCAAAATATTTCTTTGTGGACATACTTTTGTTTATTTTAGGGTTTAATAAAATCCACGAAATATAATCCGAGCTTGATTTTTTAGCTCATGAAATACTAACTAAATGAAATATTAAATAAGCAATTAATTTTATTTCAAAATTCATGGTGTATTTACATCTAAGAACAAGTCATGATTAACGGTGTAATTATCGTTACAGGCACAGAGTTAAACTCTCATAACAACAGCGTTAAATGCGTGACACAGTTATTGTTACACGGGTACATTTGCGTCTATGTGAGTCTTCACAGTAATCATTATGTGTATATCGCTCTTTGTATTTAAGCTATAGAGCGTGACGGATTTCTCCGATACCCTTCGAATGCGTTAATCTCGCCCGATCTTACCTGCACTGCACAAGGAATACATGCGATTTATCAGCAGATTTCAGAACATTTCAGAAGATTACATAAAACTCAAAAATATGGCTCTGATGTCATATTATTTTGTTTTGAATCAAGTAATTTACGGAGTATTTAGTCTGTGTAGCCGCTGTGCTGTATACGTATCTTATATACGTCTTACATGTACGTCCATGCCATATCTGAATCGTCCTCCGATGTAAATATTTACAATGTACGTAAATTGTGATTTGTCTTTGTCCTGTCTTCAACCTAAATTGGTAGAGAACTATATTAAGGATGTAGTTCATGCCAAGAATCACACTATCATACGTGTTGATTGAAACAAACAGAAATATACAGCTAGGAGGGGTGTAGCTCGGCTGAACCCTAGCAGAGACGTATATATTACTGTAATACATTTGTATATTCGTCTCTGACCCTAGCTACTGTTATATGGGCCAGTGACCAAAACGTGCCACTCCAACGTAAGAAGTATCACGTGACCTGTTAGCCATTAAACTTATTGCACAGTGAGGAGCAGTCACCTGTAATTGCCCATATCTAGGGAACGGGACCGTTCTGAGCGCGCGTTGATGGATGATTTGGTATTTATTTAAGTATATAACAGGTTTCGCTTATTTTTACAAAACGTAAAATGTCTTGGTCAAGACCCTTTAACTGTATTTTACACGTGTTTTTACCTGAGGTTAGTTACCTGGACCAAAATATTAAAAAATGTTTGTACACCATATACGATAAAAGGATATTTATTAAATTTTTAAATTATAAAGTGTCATAATTTTTGTAGCAATGGTGGTGCTGGTAAAAAAATATCAAAATAAAAAAAAATGTTTGGTAATCTTCAGGGGGGGATCCAGGATTTCGTGATGAGTGGTGACACATTATTTTCATAAAAAAACCTTCCGATTTTATCATAAACCTGAGACTGCCAGTTAATCCAAGTTTATTCCAGTTTCTGTTTATAAACATTGTCTTTTAAAACAAACACCAAAACTAATGTTGTGTAGCCGAAGGTTATTGACTTTCATCGACTGGAGCGAGGCAGAATTATTTTCTTTTTTTCGGGTTTGAATTTCACATGAAGCGATGAGTCAATTTTAGGAACCTGTTTCTTTTCTGAAAAAAACATATATCTATATTATGAACGGTACTCGTTTTCCTAAATACAGATTAGAGATGACAAGGATTTTAGGAAACGGGCTGATCTCATTCTCGTTTCCCGATTTCAGCCCAGGTATCCGAAGCAATATTTCCATTAAATATTATTTTAAACTCGTTTCAGTCACACTTGTCTGTGACGTGTTGACAGTTTGATTATCATCAGACATTAATTGGTGGCATACGTTCATTCATTCATTCTTTATTAACCAAAAGCCCTTAGGCTTCTTCTTCTTCTTCCATTTACTGTGGCAGATATCATAGATATGAGTGCAGTTGCCGCAATATTACAGGCTTATACGTACACACATGGGTCTAGAATTAAGAAGATATAGACTATACCGCCCATTAATTTTATTTTTCACTGGAGTAATATTCGCAAACATAACAAACCAAATTGAATGAAAGCAAGTGTGTTCCATGCCCACGTGCGTGTTATACTAAATCTATCTCAGAATAGCAAACGGTCAGCTTGGTAAACAATGTACTTACAGAGGTTGATATGTCATTTTTCCATTAAAGTAGGAATACAAGCAATTTGTGATCAGTTGTCATAATATTACAGTTGATTACATTCTAAATATCTTACATTAAAAAGTTGCAAAAGCTTTAAAATGACCCTTACATTGTGTTTTAATCCAGTGATATACAGAGATTTGATTCAGTTATATATAGAGATTTGATTCAGTGATATACAGAGATTTGATTCAGTGACATACAGAGATTTGATTCAGTGATATACAGAGATTTGATTCAGTTATATATAGAGATTTGATTAAGTGATATACCGAGATTTGATTCAGTGATATACAGAGATTTGATTCAGTGATATACAGAGATTTGATTCAGAGATTTGATTCAGTGATATACAGAGATTTGATTCAATGAAGACGCTGTTCTATGTGCGTATCTTCTTTACGTCCCTGTCATTTTAGAATCGTCCTCCGATATCAGATTTTAAATAGTTTTTAATAGTGTTTTGTCTTCGTACTGACTTCGACTTAAGTTGGAAGGAAATTATATTTAGTGTGTACTTCACGGCGAGAATCACTCTATCAGTCGTTTCCATTAAATAAAATTAGAAATATATGTGAGGTGCAGCTCCTGAATACTAACAACTGAAATATGAACCGGTGACCCGAAGCTACTCTATGTGGTCGTAAGTACAACGTGATCGGTAAGCTCATTAAAATTCTCACCAGTAAGGAGCGGTCACCTTTGATTGCCTTTATCTAGATAATGGGACCCATCTGAATACTCTTTGATAAACATTTGTTAATTTATTGAACTGTTTCTACGGTTTTGCTAATTTTCACAAAAAGCCAAAATTCTTCGACCCAATTTGTTTGAAGCAACGCGAAAAATCACCCTGTTCATCGAGCTATGGGAAAAGCAATGTTAATGGACTTTTAAAAAGCATTAATGAATCTGCGTCTGTCGTCACAAAATCTATTAATTAAATCTGGAAGACATAAAAATATACCCGTTCCTTAAGACTATGTCCATTCTGTAAAAATCATGCGGAGGAAGAATTTCACTTTTTATAAAAATGTCCCTCCTTTTACGACCTTAAAGGCAAATACATTAAAACTTACTTCCGTAAAACCCAGAGATCTACAAATTAATCAGTTTACTATCAACTGGAAAGGTAAAAGGTATAAATAACCTAGATACTTGTGTATATCACGAAAGTGTACTGCCATCTACATTATTTGTAAGTAACTAGAAATTTCGCACTTTAATATATAGTTACTACAATTGTTGATTTCAAAATGTATTCCATACAGTATTCGGATCACATAGCACCAAACAGCTGTTCCGTCCTTCTAGGACTCAACGGTGATGCTAGAGGCCAGAACGGTGATTATTGTCACACAAAGAGAGGTGGATAAAACCCCTTATTTATAAGAATTTCAGCATTAAGAACAACGAGTATTTGCATATAAATAACGAATAACGTGTGTATATTATGAACTCTACCAAACTAACCATTTCGTTTGTAAATTGTTTGTTTACCTATCACATCAATCTTTAGCTCCACACATGTACGGTTTTTGTTATCATTTTAACCGTTTCTAAATATATCAAGCACATGTGTATATTTTGTTGCGTATACCTATATGCAGTCGGGTGAACTGAGTTGTTCCCCTTTGCAGAAACTACGTGACCTACCTTTCATTGGGTGTACTACTAAGCAGGAAGTCGAAGCACTGTTTCTTTAAATCAAAGGAACAAATCACAACTTTAAGCGTAATCAACATTTGTCTAAGATAAAGGTATGTCCTATATGGTATTAACATGTAATTAATTTGAGATTTCTAGAAACAAGTAAGATTCTTAATTATCTAATGCTCTGTCTACACAAACAGAAAGCACTTTATGTTAGCCATGTGTCGCTGAGCCATTAACGCAGTTTAAAAACATTTTATTACAGTCCAAAAGAATATGTAGTTACATGGACTTTGAACTTTTGAGTATTTGTATTTGAGGGAATGGCTAATAAAACGTGATATAGAATCGAAATAAAAATGACTAAAGGGATTCCCGAAAGGAAATTCTCCATTAAACTATTTGACATTACTGAGGTGGTTATCAACACAACACGATGTTCTAGATGAATGCACTTGATACGTACACCTACCTCAACACACGGCCATTATGAAAAATTTCACACTACTTCAAATAAACTGTGTTTTTTTTCTATATAAAGAACCAATGCAATACTTGAAAAGTTCATCAGAATTTTTAAGTATTATACAAATTGCTGGATGACTGATACTGTTAGTGTGTGCTAGGAAATGACTGTTACTGTTAGCGTGTGCTAGGAAATGACTGATACTGTTAGTGTGTGCTAAGAAATGACTGTTACTGTGATTGTGTGCTAGGAAATAACTGATACTGTTAGCGTGTGCTAGGAAATGACTGATACTGTTAGTTTGGGCTAGGAAATGACTGATACTGTTGGTGTGTGTTAGGAAATGACTGATACTGTTAGTGTGTGTTAGGAAATGACTGATACTGTTAGTGTGTGCTAAGAAATGACTGTTACTGTGATTGTGTGCTAGGAAATGACTGATACTGTTAGCGTGTGCTAGGAAATGACTGATTCTGTTAGTTTGTGCTAGGAAATGACTGATCCTGTTAGTGTGTGTTAGGAAATGACTGATAATGTTAGTGTGTGCTAAGAAATGACTGTTACTGTGATTGTGTGCTAGGAAATGACTGATACTGTTAATAGGAAATGACTGATACCAATTTGAAGATAAAATGTCAGACTAATACTGTTAGTGTGTGCTAGGAAATGACTGAAACTGTTAGTGTGTGCTAGCAAATCAATGATACTGTTAGTAGGAAATCAATGATACTGTTACATGTAGTGTGTGCTAGGAAATGACTGATACTGTTAATAGGAAATGACTGATACTGTTAGTGTGTGCTAGGAAATGCCTGATACTGTTAGTGTGTGCTAGGAAATGCCTGATACTGTTAATGTGTGCTAGGAAATGCATGATACTGTTAGTGTGTGCTAGGAAATCAATGTTACTGTTAGTTTGTGATAGGAAATCAGTGATACTGTTAGTGTGTGCTAGGAAATAACTGATACTGTTAGTGTGTGCTAGGAAATAACTGATACTGTTAGTGTGTGCTAGGACACTTTCACCAAGTCAAACTGTAACCTTTCACTTATAAAGTCCCTAGTTGTACGACGCTTTTCTTAAGTAACTATTACGTTAGTTATGCTTTAAACTAGTATTGGCTGTCATAACAAATTCGCACTTATTTGTGATGACAAAATTGGTAAATAACAATAAATAACTTATCTCGTGATAAGGATAATGTAGAACTTATTAAAGATCTCAAAGACAAAGCACAATACTCTTTTAAATATTCCAAGAAAGATGACGCTATGAGGTATCCGAAAACAACAGACAAAGATTCCTTGTTTTAAGAATTAGAGACTGCATATGTGTTTTAGTTGATCTTATTTTTTTAAGTTTTAGTATATTAAGAGGAAAATTATTTCCAGTGAGATATCATACTGTAACTTTCCTTTTAATTTATACTAGTATTCATCGTCGGTGGTATAACTATAGTAAGAATCAATCAATTTCAAATGAGATTACATGTATGTCATATCTAACTGCATTATATAAAACTTTAATACGTTACTGATTCAGAGAGTCAATAATTTATTTTGTGATGGGTTATTTCCGTTTTTTATAATTTATTCTGAAGTGAACATACCCGAGATTTCCCATTAATGACCAGCATACTTCTACTTCTACTTCTAAATGGTACTGACCAACTTCAACAATTTGAAGATAAAATGTCAGACGAGGAGTGAAACATGGAAAGAGAGTGTTTTTAAAAGATACGAGATGGTCTAATTTGCGTTTGAAAGGTGACGGTAGAGGGCTGATTTGAATAATTCCGTTGGTGGGCTCGAAATAATGTCAAGTGGGAGTTTATTCCACTCGGGTATAGTTCGAGGGAAGAATGATGCCTTTCTGATCTGGGTTTTTGAGTGGGGAATTTTATACGAAAACTGGTGGTTTGTTCGGGATTTTCTAACTGTAGGGATTTACGATAGCGACTTTCTGGTTTACAATGTTATGAAGCATGGTTAGACGAGCATCTCTACGTCTATCTGCTAGAGGGCGCAGCTTCAGGTGGTCCAACATTTCTGACACACTGGAGGTACGATGGTTGTACCTGTGCTTATTGAGCACATAGTGCGCTGCCCTTCGCTGGACCATTTCCAACTTGTCAATATTTGTTTGGGTGTGAGGGTCCCATACTGTACAGGCATACTCAAGTGATGGTCGAACTAATGATTTGTATGCCTGTATTTTGGCTGATGTTGAGCCAATTTTAAGATTTCGTCTTAAAAAGCCTAGGGTAGAATTTGCTTTTGGGCATATAGTATTTATATGTGAATCCCATTTAAGGTCAGATGATAGTGTTACACCCAGATACTTGG